TATTTTCACAGCATTTTAATTAAGAAAATGCAAAAGCTTGTTTATGAATGTTTTAATGCAAAAGTTTACTTATGAACTTTCCATAACTTTTCTGGAAAATATTTAAACGATGTTGTACCCTTATCGTAATGTTCGGCATTCAACCTTTCCTGGAGTAGAACACGTCAATGTGAAATTTTAAATTAAACAAAAAATCAACCATAACTTTTTTTAGATGTTTTTAGGGAAAATTCTGCAGGTTTTGTTTTTCCTGCAAAAGAAAGACTTGAGTCTGATCGCCCTCAAAAATCGATAGAGCTGTTCAAAATATATTTCACACTAAGGCTTTTTGCTTAATAGTTGACGGAAATCGAAACCAAACAATTTTTAGATTTAACTACAGCCTTCTAAAGAAGATCTATCGTCAGGCTTCCTATTGGCGACATTTCACTGTCGCTTGGCCATTTTATATTTTTTGACTTTAGCTCAATTATTTTTATTTGGCGATTATCTATACATTAAATCCCTGTTGTTGTGTTTGAATCATCTCTCGGGAACGGCTGGGTGTAGAGCTTAGCGGAAGGTACCGTTGGATTCAGAATGCCCGTGGCTCGCCGGATTGACCATCGGCATCTTCGTGCGACTTTAATTAGCCGAGATATTAATTAAAAACTGATTTTCTCCCTACATTTCCCTACGTTTTGCACTTTCTTTCACGGGTTTCCCCTATTTTAGGGATTTGGCCGAGTGCCAAATTCGTTTTTCTCGAATATCTGCGGAACGGCTCCGAGTTGCGATTCGAAACGCATATCCCCGTATTCGAAAAAAATCAACGAATCCATCGATACCGGTCCCATCTTCGTACGACAATAATCGGCGGAGTTATTAATTAAAAACTGCGAAAACGTTATTTCATTTTTCGGAGTGGCAACCGTCTCGGAATTAGCTGAGATAAAATTGCTTTTTCGAAAGCGCCGGGGGGGACAATTCCGCTCGAGATTTGTAGTGGCGAAAGGTCACGGGCACTTTCTTTTTTCTTAAATATCTATGGAACGGCGCTGAGTGGAATGGGCAGGTGCGGGGGGGGGGTGGATTCCAACAAATTTACGAATCCAATGATAAATCTATCTTGTAACGTTAAAAGCGAAGATTTAATAAAACTGTGAAACGCTAATTTTCGGGTCATTTTTCGATTGCGCGTTTCTTGAATCGCCGCAGATACAAATCCAAGGTTCTATTCTAAAGTATGAATAAAGCACGCAATTGCATGTTACCTAACTGTATTTTAAAAATATTTCGTGAATGAGGCATTTTAAATAAAATAGCTGCTTTTTGCAATTTTTTTATTCAGGTTGGATAATTAACACATATGTTATTGCCACGTATTTCTTTTATCGATATGTGTAAAAGTTGTTATATTCTTAAAATTTAAATGCTGACGTTCTTGAAGTTCTACGGTATTTTAAATAAAAATCGCTTTATGCAATTTTTTTTTTATTTCAGGTTAGGATAATTCGCACGTTATTTCAAAAAATTTTCTATGCAGACAGTTAAAGAAGAAGTGAAATTATAGGTAAACTACTATTAAATTTCACTAAAAAAAAAAAAAAAATCTTTTCGTTCAGGGATTTAAATTGATATGTTTTTTCTTGGAGCTGGTAAGGAAACCTCTTATTATATTAATTATGAATTATTAATCATAATGTATATATTGATACAGTTTTGCGTGATCATATTGAAGTTTATAAAGTAAAAAGAATTTAATAACGGAATCTATGTTTGTATATAAATGCGAAAATTTACGCGATTACACTTTCTACAAGCCAATTTAGCGGGGGAGCGGGCAGACAAACATGGTAGTTAGGTCAAGTTTCGAATCCCGGCGAACGGGCTGGCTGCATGGGTGTTTTCGTGATTTTCCGGTTGTGTATAGTGTATGCAGTATCTTCTGGATGCATACGTGGATAAAGCGGGCGCAGCCCGATCAAAACATGTGAACACTGGTAGTTTGGTCCAACTTTCGAATACCGGCGAACACGGGCTGGCTGCATGAGTATTTTCGTGATTTTCTGCATGTGTAACGTGTATGCAGTATCTTATGCATGCATATGTTAATAAGGCGGGAGCAGCCCAGGTAAAATCGATGTACACTGGTAGTTCGGTCCAACTTTGGAATCCCGCTGAACGGAATGCCTCCATAGATTTTTTCGTGATTTTAGTCATGTGTATTGTGTATGCGGTATGTCCTGTATGCATAAGCGAATAAAGCGGGCGCAGCCCGCCCAAAACCGCTGAACGCTGGCAGTTCAGTCCAATTTTCGAATCCAGACGAACAGGCCGCCACCATGGGTGTTCACGTGATTTTACTCATGTGTAATGTATATGCAGTACCGTATGGATTCATTTATGAATAAGGCAGACGCAGCCCGCACAAAACCGTTGAACACTGGTAGTTTGGTCAAACTTTCGAATACCAGGTAATGGGCTGCCTGTATGAATGTTTTCGTGATTTTCCGGATGTGTAACGTTTATGAAGTATCTTGTGGATGCATACGTGAATAAAGTGGGTGGAGAACACTGGTAGTTCGGACCAAATTTCGAATCCAATCGTATGGGCTGGCTCCATGGGTTTTTTCGTGATTTTCCGCATGCGTATCTAGTAAGCAGTATCTTCTGAATGCATATGTGACCAAAGCGGGCGCAGCCCACGAAAAACCGCTGAACACTGGTAGTTCGGTCCAACTTTCGAATTCCGGCGAGCGGGCTGGCTGCATGAGTGTTTTCGTGATTTTCGGCATGTGTATCGTGTATGCAGTGTCTTCAGGATGCATATGTGAATAAAGCGGGAGCAGCAAGCGCAAAACCGCTGAACACTGGTAGTTCGCTCCAACTTTCGATCCCGGCGAACGGGCTGTCCAACTTGCGAATAAAGGCCAATAATAGCGGGCTTCAGCCCGCCTGCTAGTTGTTTTATATTTTATATAGCTAGTAAGACCATAAGTACAATGACTTTTTACTATACGTTTTCCTCAATGGATTTCCAGATCTTCGCCCCTGTAAAGATAGCTTTACGTCTTTAGCCTATACTATACAGGAAAAACTACATTGTAGGTGTTTCGAATATCGTAATCATTATAAGTACTGAAATAACTGCAAAGTCCCTCTTATGTTTAAAATTTTAAATGTTAAATAGGCTTTAAGTTATTGTAATTGGATTAAAATTTTTGTTTTCCAATTTAATATAAAATTTCTCTGTTATTTGCTGTGTTAGTAGCAAATAATAAGCTTTTTCGTAAGATTTTGCATGTTAGATACAAACATAACGCCCACGTAGGGTTTAGTAAATAAATAAAGGATTGTTATGTAGCTAAGTATTGCGAAAGTGAGTGGGGTTGGAAATTAATACTACTTAAGTATTAATGACGAATACTTTATTTAAGTAACTGAAGGCATTTCGAAATGAAATAATTTCTTATTGATTGCTGAAATTGGAATTAAAAATCTTTCTCGAAAGAATGTTTTAGGAGTGGATTGAATGACTTGTAATTTTGTGACTCATTATACGTAAATTTAATTTGGAAAAATCGTAGTTATTCTATTATAGATATTTTACTGTGATCATATGTTTCGTTTTTCACTAAATCTAGTTTCCTGTACAGCACATAAGCTACGTTTTCCCTAGATCGGAATTGTTTTGCTATGTTTTTGGCTGGAATGTATTCTGTAAGTAAATCCACATGAAAATATAACATTTTAATCATTAAAGTTATCTAAGAAATGGAAATTTTCTTTTGAAATATAATTCTGTAGCAATTTATTAAGGCTACGTTTAGTGTATCATAATTGGTAAACCGGAGGAAGGGGAAGCAAATCTCTGCCTAAAAGTTGATTGCAAATATTCTTCTACGTTGTAATCTGGCACTTAACATTCATGCGTACTGAAGTTGTCATAAAGTAGTACCTTTAAATTCTGAAACATCCATCCATTATCATCATTATCATCATGCTAATAATAAGAAAAATTGATGTTTTTTCGCGTAGTGAATAATATGTTATGTGTACTTATATTTTACAATTAAGCTATATAAGATTTGTAAAGATTGCTAATCTTGTGATTCAAATTTTAGTGAAATCGCAGATCAACAGGAAATACAAGAATTTCATATATTAGCAGGAAATAGAAATATTCTGTAACCGATGCACATAATATATGGCGTAAAGTTTTTTTAATTACGTGTAAATATTAGCGGCATAAAATGGTATGAATATAAATGAAATATACGAGCTGTGACACAAAAGAAACGAGACTAAATGTATAGCTTGAAAACAGAGTGGAGTAGGCAACAACTGTTTTGGTGACGTCATGCCACACACCTCCTCTATCCATTCCACCAGTTGCGAATTAACCGACCACGCCAGTGGGGAGTACTGCACCATTGTGTGAACATGTGCAACTGCATTCTGCTGGAAAAATGTCTAATGTAAAAAACCGAACAGCGAATCAACATCAATTTTCTTGTGAAAGTTAAGACATCAGCCACAGAGGAAACATTTCAGATATTAAGCGAGGATTATAGAGATGAAACTTTGTCTCATGCACGTGTATTTGAATGGCATAAGCGGTTTTCAGGGGAAGGGGACAGTGTGGAAGATGATGGATGTGCTGTGCCCCTTGGGCCCCCAGTCCAGTATGTTCATCATGATTGAATGGGTTCCCAATGGTCACACTATTAATCAGTATTACTACATTGAAGTATTAAAAAGACTTCGTGAAAACATTAGCGAAAAAAAGGCCACAGTTGTGGAGTGATGGATGACTGTTGCACCCTGACAATGCACCCGCTCACACGGCCCTATCGGTCAAGCAGTTTCTGACCAGCAAAAACATTACTGTGATGGAGAATCCCTCCTTATTCACCTGATTTAGCTCCATGGGACTTTTTTTTATTTCCTCAAGTTTAATCTTACTTAAAGAGAACTCATTTTACCTCAGGTGAAAAGGCTCAGGCAAAAACGGAGTAGGCAACAACTGTTTTGGTGACGTCATGCCACACACCTCCTCTATCCATTCCACCAGTTGCGAATTAATCGACCACGCCAGTGGGGAGTACTGCATCATTGAAGAGCCTTCCAAAAAACTTTTTCCAGAACTGTTACCAGCAGTGGCAGCACCGAAAGCAGAAGTGTGTGAATGCTGAAGGGAACTACTTTAAAGGTGCTAATATCGCGGAGAACTAACTGATTCTGTAAGTACATTGATTTATTGGAGCAGTCTCGTTTATTTGTGTCACACGCTGTATTAACTTAAAAACGGAAAAAGAATCAAAATATTGTTTATAGATTCTTTTTAAATGGTACCATTTTTCCCGCTGATATTTAACGTGCTATTATAATTTGTAAGCTAACCAGAACATCTTGTGCCACATACCACATTAGCAACAGCTCTCTGTTCTGGGTAATAGTGATTTGTGTCTGTGAAACGAAAATAAAATATCCCTCTTATGTGATTAAACTAACGGTAATAGGTTAGTTTCCACCTGTAACAGAAAATTGTAATATCCCAGAAAGTGAACCTTCATTACAATTAAAAGTGTATAAAATGCGATCTGAAAGCTATCGAATGCAGCTTAATATCTCAAAGACCTTACCGATAGTTTAAAAAAATTAATTCAAAATATACAAAAGGATTAAAAGGAAATTACCATAGTCATGTATGCATATTTATGTTTAACACCAGAAACAATTTTAAACTAGGCAGTTATGACAGTTTTACTAATTTAAGAATTAGTCCGCCAGAAATTAAAACTGTCGTACGTAAAATCTTATATTTAAAATGAGCTGTTAAAAATGTCAAAGTAAAAAAAAAAAAAAAAATTCTACGATATTTACTTCGTAAATTAATATCACGTTGAGACTTGCGCACTTACTTAATAAAGAAAATATTTAATTATTCAAAATATTATTGTGCACTTGTTTTACTGGATTATTTCCGTATGAAGTTAGTAATAAATAGCATTTTCCTCAAGTGGCAATTTTTAGCCCAAAGGAGCATTAACACAAAAGGGCTATTACTCTTAAAACGGGATTTTTCGTTGAATCACTGTAAAAGACTGAATAGCTGAATAGCTTTTCAAATTGTTGCCAGCAAATATTACCGTCCTGTATTATATTTAAATAAATTAAATAAGCCCGAATGGAAGCACATGGAAGCCCGAATTTTAAATTTTCGAATTTGCTTTATTATGTATTTCATATTTTTTGAATCTTTAACGAATTTCTGATTAAAAACTCAATGATTTCAAAGCGAGCAATGGCAAAATGTACGGAAAAAAACACTTTTATCTCCAGCGCGTGAAACTGTCTATCGGAAATTCTAAAGATATGCTGTTTTTTTACTTTACTATGCATTTCAAATTTTGTAAAGCTTTAACGAATTTTTCATTTACAAACTCGCCGATTACAAGGCGAGCAATGGCAACACTGTACGAAGAAAAAAAAAAAAAAAAAATTTATCACCAGCATGGGAGACTGTCTGTCGGAAATTTTAAAAATAGCCTGTTTTTAAATATTTTAGAAAAAAATAACATTATCCCAAATGCTCTCGAAACGTGTATATGAATGTAAATGAAAAGACGCCACTTTGGGCGTAATATAAAATCTAAAAGCTTTCAGAGTTTATTTTATTTTATTTTGCTTTATTTTAATATTTTATTTCCCGAAACACAAAATCAGTAAATGCCTCTTTAAGATGTATAAAAGTATCCTATTCTGAATTCTATTTAACCTCCTAAGCTTTAGTTTTTAAATAAAAATTTTTTATTCTCCTTTCTTTGAAAATGATAGTAACACGCGTCTGAAGCTGTTTAGCTGTAATTACGAATCCGAACATTTATGTTGAAAGTTCGATTCAAACATGCTTTAATTAACAGCTAATTTATTATTATTTCAAAAATTCTGTAAATGATCATTTGTGATAATTTAAAACTGAAACCCCAAAAGATAAATATATGTGAAATGTCGATGTAAATATAAAACTTGAAAATATCGGTTAATGATTCAGTTTCTTAAAGATAAGCAAGATAATAAAATTTTATCTTACATGGCAGTCAGATTAATGCACATTGAAAAATTAAATAACTGTTAATCACATTCATCCCCCCCCCAAAAAAAACAGAAATTGCAGATCTGCAGTAATTACATGTATAATTTTATTTTCTAATGTATAAAATTGCGTTTATTATAATGTGTCTTAGAATCATTATTTGGTAACTTTAGTTTCAAAATAGGGATGGTTCTTCTAAAAACAATAATTAAAGTTTCATTTAATTATTTTTAGACAAAAGGCCATTCAGCGCAGAAATCTAAAATATGCTGAAATAATCGGAAACAAATTACTAACTTCTTATGCTGTTAAAATTTGCTTTTATTTTAATGCATTAAAAGCTAAATAAATGTAATATATTGTTACGAAATGTACAGGTGCGGTAATATAGCTTCCCGGTAAAGCACTTTTAGGGTTGCCATAAAATGGCAAAGTTGCCACATTTGACAAAAAATCGCCACATTTGGCGGCAGAATTAGCGATATGCCATGGACGGATGGAGAACCTTCTGGAACGAATTCTTACTGGTTTAGCCCAGAATGTTCTCGAACACAAGCCGAAATCTAAATAAACCGTACTGGTACGCAGTCAGAGTTTGCCTCGTCTAGTGTGAGTTAGTGTCTCGAGTTAGTCAGTCCATGCGGAGTCGATCCAATTGACAGCCGGGCAGCGACTGCCGAGTGGGTCGTCGAGTGCATCGAAAGAGTCTCTTAGTGTATCGTGGTTAGTGCATCGTCGAGAGAGTGTGTTGAGCTCCGGGAACGACTGAACCGAAGAGTCGGGAGCTATGCTCTGTGTGTCGTCGAGTGCATCGCGAGTTGTAGAGTCTTGAGAATACGTGGAGTTCCGAGAAAAACCAAGCAGAGTCGGGAGCTGTATTCTGGTGCTTTGCAGTGAAGCTGACTCCACCGTTATAACCTGATAACAAGAAGGCTGTGCCGCTGATTGTTCCAGCAAGTGTATGGTAAATCTTCGACGACTGTAAAACGTAACTTTGGAGCTGTCCTGATTAATATTGGCTAAATAAGGTGTGTTTCGATACTTCATCAAGTGTCGTCGTTACTTGCTCCAAATCTGCACGAACCCCGTACGAACGTGAAGTGAAAGAAGAAAATAACGTAACAACTGGTGTCAGAAAATAACTTAACAATATTAAATTAAATATTATTTATTTAAATCTAATACTTAGCTAAAGATAAATATCCTTTAGACCTGCACAACGAATATGAAGATTAGTAGTCCACCTTATCATGAAAAGAATATTTCAATAAAAAAATCCAGTATATTGACAAGATTTGAAGCTTTTTAAATATCCCAGTTATTTTGCCCGGAAATTGAAAAATCAATTATATGAACAAGAATCCCTCTATGCTTATTATTTTTTAAAATGTCCTTTGTCCTGAGACTAGAAATCCATTATTTATAATTTAATTTCCTTAAAAGGATTTTGAAATATACATCTCAAATTAAGTTTATAGATATTCATCGTTGATGGTATTAATGCGTCTTTTTAAACTTTCTAAGAAAACATCCACGAATTTGCTTGCATTTTTAAGTAACATTTTGGATTTCGGTATTCAGCGTTTCTGTTGTTATAGAAAACATTTTTGTTTAAACAAATTAATGTTTTATGTTATTCTACGATTCTAGTTTACTAAACTATTTTAGTGTTATGATTTCATCTTATCAAAGACTTCGATAATTCTTTAAAACAACTTTGTACTCATTTTTCAAATATCTGAACTTCTTCGAATAATGCAAATCATTGCTTCAGATTACGTAAATAAGAGCTTAAATATATCACTAAATTGTTTATTCTTAAAACAAAGTAAAAATTTTTGCTGATAATGAACGTATGAAAAATTAAAGCTGAACTAATATAAATAATGTTAGACAAACATTCGGCGGATTAAATTGCATTTGTTACTGAGAACTTGAATGTATTATTCTAAATAATGGGATTATTTTTAAAGTTTTAAAATTAAAATCTACAGTAATTACTATTGAATTTAAATCTGCAAACGAATTTCAGAACATCTCTGATAAATTCAAATAAATTATTATAAACTTTTGCAAAAAAGAGCGAAAACTGCATTTGCTAAATTGCATTTCCTTTCTTTATTTTAAAATTTACAAATGAAATTATGTTTGAATTGCTAATGCTAGATTTTCAGTAATACAAAATTGTCTTTTCATAAAACAAGTCGTTAATTTTATAATATTTTTCTTATCATGAGTACAGTGAGTGTGAGCTAAAATGAGGAATTAATGTAAGTGGCAAGCAATACTTTCTACTGTATAACTATAAGCCATTGAAATTACCTTGCGAATGTTTTTGAAGAAATTTAAGAAAATAATAAAATTAAAGAAAAAAGAATCTGAAAGCCTTAATATTTTATATTACGCCCAAAGGGTTTTTTTTAACGTTTTGTGTGTTACCTTTATTTATATAATATCGCATTCTTCGCACTTAAACCACATAAAATTCAATTCAACAGCAATATCACAAAATATTTAAAAACATCATATATTTAGAGTTTCCGATAGACAGTCTCACGCTGGAGATAATGTTTTTTTCTGAACAGTGTTGTCATTGTTCGCTTTGAAATCGTTGAGTTCGATACTCTAAAATTTTTTAAAGTTTTACAAAATGTAAAATAAAAAAAATTAAAAATTCGTATTTCCAGGTGCTTATGTTCGGGTGGAGGATTATGTTATTCATAATTTAATGGCTCTAGGTACTGTCGTTTTTTTCACAATACGAGAAACATACTTACATTCATGTACATTCTCCTTTACTTAATTTCTTTTAAAATAATACTGGGCAATAATATTTGGTGGCAACGATCTGAAAAGTGATTTAGCCTTTTGCAGTGATTCAGCGCAAAATCCCATTTCGAGAATAATAGCTGTTCTGAGCTAATGCTCCTTTGGGCTTTAAAGACCAGGAATTTGATATGATTTTATTGAATCTGAAAAAAAAAAAAAAAAAAAAAAAAAAGACTGCAGCTTGTGTATCTGTACAGTTTTATTTTCCGCCATAATACTCTTCATGAAAACTTTCAGTTTGTTATAAAAAGCTTGATAAAATTTTTAATTAGCATAACAGTTTGGAAAAGTCCTTTTTTAGTATTGAATAAGCGTGTTTTCAGCTTGCAAAGATTTCAGCTATCTGCTCTTTGTTGACGCACTGAGTTCTTGTTCTTTGTTGAATAAAGTACTGCATTTATCTTATAATTGTTCTTTGCTTGTCAGTGTAATTAAGGAGGCTATTTAAACAAATTGTAAGTCTAATATGGCAGTGTTATTGTCAAAGAAATAAGTATTGCAATCATAAACATCATGCAACATTTAAACAAAAGTACATTGTGGTGGACTTTTTTGTGTGCTAGAGATGGATGAATCATTCATTTTTTAGAATACAAATCCTTAGATACAAATTAATTAAAAGATTTTCGGAATATGATAGTTATAGAATCTTCGACCTTAAAATTTTCATGTAACAATAAAAAGTATTAAAAGTTTAAAAATTTGAAACTTTCGTTTGATGAAAAACAAATTTAAGAATACTAACTTTTAAACGTCTGCCGACATTTATAAATAGATGCAAATACAAAATTACGGAATCAAACACATGGTTAAAATTCTTCAACTCTGAGGTTGCTTTTCTCAGTATAGTTTGATAAAAATGTTTGAGCACACTCGGCGCGTATTTGAGAGGTCCGGTGTTCGAGTCTGGACGAGGGCATGGCTCATTTTTCAGTCTCTCCTTTGAAATAACCTAATGTTTCTACAGAGTAACGGTTAAAATATTTATTATTTTTCTGGTATTTTTAAAATCAAATTTATGAAAAGCAGAGGCGAGCATTTCAAGAGTTAAAACCGGTTAAAACTACGCACGAACTAACAAGTAATCTGTAAAAGACTGAGTGTAACATTTAGAGTCTCTATATATTATTAGTGATCTAAGTAATATGTAATTAAAACTGTAAAAATCCTTTCGTTTAAGGAAGGCTTTTATTGGCTGTCACTAATACGAAGCTTTCTAAAGTTTTCAGTTGAAGTGTGTAATTGTTATTTAGGTTACGCTTCGAAACATTCAAATCACAAAAAAGCGTGAAGAATTGAGTTTTGAGAAAGCTAATCCTTTTCAAGATCCCCTCTTTTTAACCTTAGTTCCTAGAGCATTTGTTATTGGACTAAAATACAGAAATAAAATATTTCTCTATCTATATGTATAATGCAGAAATCAAATACTTTTCAATGTATATCTGTTTTAGGATGAGAATAAATATAAATCCTTAAACAAATTATGATGCAAGACATTTTAAGTGCTATATTACGGCAAATTAGTTGAATCAGCTATATCTTATTAATATTTAAAAATAATCTGGTACCGTTCTGTTATCGGGACCGGATTCAGAAGTGCATATATGTTGATGTTTATACACACATACATTCATTCATTCATATATACCTGCATACATAAACACATGCATCCTTGCATGCATGCGTACATTTCTGAATCCAGTCCTGATTGATAACAGAAGAGTACCAATAATTTTGTATTTAGGGGAAAGAAAACATTTCCTCCATTTCTTTCCCTGCCTTTTGCTTGAAGTGAAAACTGGGACTTTTTTCTGGAATTCTTAGGAATATTTTAAGATTTTTTAGGTTTTATTCTCTTATTGCCTTACAGGAGAAGGAAACGTAAAACTGATTTTGCGAATTATGAAGGCACTTGATATCGACTATGTTTATATTATTAAAGACTATAGGTTTATTCACAATTCGTGAAACAGCTTAAAAATCGTCAGTCGCCATAAATAAACTATATAAATGATACCGAGTTTTATTACTCTGTAGTGGAGGCAAACTCTTTTTGTTCAATTACAAATGCTTTGGTGTATCAATCATTGTTAACATTGTAGACAGCTTATGTGCTTGTGGAGAGAGTTTATTTTGGCTTACTGAAAAGTTGAGTTTATATCATATCTGAGTGGAAAAAGTGTTAATACCTTTTGCAACAACACTATTGTCCGGCTTAATATCATAAAAAAAACTTCTATTTCTCACCAGTTGGGAGTAGTTTAAGATATTGAGCACCATCAGCTCGAATTCCAGCAAATGGGTTAGTTGCAGAGCGTTTTCTTTCTGTGTACCATGAATACAAGGCAGTTTCTATTGGAAATTTCTCCACAAAGGTATCCCTGTCTTTAAGCAGATAGCTCTCGAATTCTTTTTCATAATCAAAGAAATAAGTTCGCACAATAATTATCAAGATCATTAGCAAATTTTGATTGTCACAAGACCAACAACATTTGCAAAGTGCCTCAATCAAAATTTGCCATAAACTGGAAATGTATAAGGAGATGTGAACCCTGGCCTCTAGATTTATTTCCATGTGACATTTCTTGGGGGAATAATTGCCAAATATACTGCCTTTTTGTCTCGCCTTCTCACTAATCTCCGGGATCTTCACAACCGTATCACCAATACTGATTGTCTGATCATCGTGATACACCGGGCGGAAACGAACCGAATTATTACATAGATGTCTACTCTATCAACAAAGACGGACATATTAAACATTTGTGAAATACATGAAAAAATCGTGATGAGTTACTTCTGCTTTACTTTAATAAAATTTATTATTAGCTGCGTAGTTTATTTTTTAGGAATTGTTAAAAGATTTCTCGGAATTGTAACTCTGTATTTAAGAAAAAATCTTATATATTTTGCAGTTAGCAATTTTAATGCATTGCAACATTAATTGTTTCCGTATAATATTCTGCATTTCAAAGTAATGGACATCTAAAAAGTAAGAAAATTTGGATTTATTATAAAACCACATCCACACTTCCGGAACCAAATCATCATAAATCTTTCAGGATAGTTTAATGTCATATGATCCGTTTATAAATAACGAGATGCAATTAGCAACAGCGCTACATTAGTTCATTAATTTATTTTTAGGTCGTCGTGGTATTTATTGATATAGTTTAGGAGCAGCTGTAACAGAATGCTGTACATCATTTGCAACTAATTTTTAGTATAAAATGAATTTTCCTTTTACTTTATTTTTTTATGATTTTATTTTATTGCTATGATTCTTAATGTGTTTTTTCTTTTCTTTTCGACCTGTCTGTTCCGGAATCGCTCACCGGTTCCAGAGACACAGTCAGGTGAGTCTGTATTTTTAGTTATTTTTCTGTTATGCATGCTTTATTTCATTTTTATTGTGAGTCAATTATTTTCTTTCATAGTTTTTATCTTATTCAGAATTTTATTTGGTATTTTATTAAAAAAACGATTATATTTATACCAAAAGATTTTTTTAATAAAAATTACTATCGAGAAATTTTTCATCCACGTAACATTTGATTCCAGGTATATGTCTTCTTGAGGAAAACAGTATTAGAGTAAAAATATTTTTTTTTAATGTAAATGACAAATCTTACCCAATTACAAATTGTCTGTAAAAGTTTTGTTAGAAAAGACAATGAAGAATTACCGAGTTGGAGTTATGTAAAGCGACTATTTAAAAATCTGACATGGACTCCTCATGGCTTCTTTCTATGTCCTATTAAATTATACACATTTTTGCTGCATTTCATTTAAAATTATTTCCTGGAATTTAATTAGAGATATATTTCTCATTCAATTAAATCATTTCTTACCTCGCGGCAAAGTAAAAATATATAAAATCTCAAAACATCTTCATTAAAAATTGTAAATTACAGAAAAATATAAAACATCAAATATAGTTGAAACAGTTAAAAAAGAAAAATTTTTACAATTAAAATATTAGAACTTTCTACGCGAAAACGGCCAACGGGCAAGAAGGCATATTTTTCGGTGCACAAAACTGAAAAATTTCCTTTGGTGTCACTTTGCAAAAAGACACCGAAGGTTCAGAAATTGACTTTATTCATTATTCTAATGAGTTTCAAATGTAAACAAATGGGGTTCGTTAGGCTTAACTCGCCGCTTAAACTTTTTAATTGTTGATAATTCTGCAACTATTGCATGCAGACAGAGCTGTAGCTAGGATTTTCAGCGCCCGGGGACAACTGAAGATATCGCGTTCCCTTTTGTTTGCGAAGAATGGAAAACTTTTCATTCTAAAAATTCGTTACATCAGTTCGGCGCCCCTTGTATGCTGCGCCCGGGGACAGGTGTTCCCCCCTTGCCCCCTTTAGTTACGCCCTTGCATGCAGATTAACTAAAGGCATAAAAACCTAAACCGGAACATAAAACCATATAATTTAATCACGTTTAAAGCAAAAAAATGCATAATTTACCAGCATACAAGAATAAAAGAACTAAGTTCACCGAGCCAGGTAACAGAGTGGGAATATTTGCATTTAAAATTTCTTAATTAAATTTTAAATTTATATTTATACGAACAGAGAATATTTGTTAAATTCAAATTTCATTCCTTGCAGCAATGGCGCAGGAGAATTATTTAAATTTAATTTAACTTTAATATATATATACGATTGGTCCAACCGATTGCAATGAAAAAAAGCGATGCAAAACTACATATTATAGCAATCTCTTATACAAAATTTCAACGCTGTATGGCTACTTGTTCTTTGGTTATGCGTACATACGTCATACATACGTACAGACGTCAAAGGAATGAAAATCTCTTCTGAATCCATTTTACAATCCTTTTTGGCAAAAGCAGTCTTTTATTCTGTCCGTACGTGCAGATGTCACGCAAAAACATCGTTCAAATGGTTTCGAGAGCGGTTAAAATGGATATTTTCTTTGAAATAGGATACCCGAAATTTTTCGTGATTGCGGTACTTCTTTTACTTCGTATAAGCAAGTAAAAATTAAAATTTACGAAGCTGTCCAATCCAATAAATTCTAGATAAATATCTAAACAGTATTCTTTTAATCCATTGTGAAACGCATGACATCGTCAAAAAATTGAGATCGAAATTATCTTTTACAGTGAAGTGCTACTTACTGCTACTTGCCATGTGGTGGATAAATTAAATAAGATTTGTAAAGATTCTGAATTTAAAAATCGAGCTGCTCTAAAATTCAGACCACCAGAAGTCATACAAATATTTCATATGTGTTTTTCATTGAAAATAATTTCGTTTTTGACATTCAACAAAATAAAGTTTTATGGTTTAAATAAGCTACAAAGATTATTATTATTATGCCTTACTTTTAATGCAGACTGTAGTGTACGAGCACGAGAGTTAGAAAGCTGCTGTGTGGTGGTGAACTTCCTTAATATTTAACGTTAGTAGCATTGTTTATTCATTATACTGATTTTTAAAAACATTAAAAAGCTTTGTCTGTATCGAAAAGGAACAACTTATTTATTTAAAATAATTTTTTTGTTCAATCTCAAATGATAATTCATATATATTTGATAAAGAATGATCTTCCACGGCATGGTACAGGAAAAGTCTCTTCTTTCGATCAGAGATGAATTTTTTGCAAAATGAAAGCAAAAGTTTCTCTTTCAGGTGCTAAAAAAGGCCTTCTTTGAGGAATTTTACGATGGGGAGAAGAAATTCTTCTGGGGAATTTTATACAGGGGAAAAAATATCAGGAATGCGATGTGGGAAAATAAAGCTGTGTTACCAGTTTAAACGTTTTAGTCCAATGTTCTAGAATGTATAAAATCAAAATGAGTGCTGATACATTTTATTTATAGTGTTGTGTATTTAGCTGCTTCTTTGGAGTACTTTGACATGTTAATTTCGACATTAATTACGGTTAAATGTATAAAATAATATAAAGCTACGGACGTATTATTACTAGGTATCAAACAGACTTCTGTTTGTAAAATCAAATTTTAGAATATCATTTTCACAAATCTTCTCGTGACCATGAAATTAAAACTAAAGAAGTAAGTGCGTCTATTTTTGCATGTATGTTTAATACATTTTATCACTGAATACATTAGCAACACCGTTAAGGAAGATGTTTTTAATGGCGAATATCAGTATATCGATATAAAATTTTAGTTAAAAATAATAAAAATCAAATATATCAAGTATAAATTTCAATTTATAATAAGAATTTATAATTCAGAATATAGAAAGATTTATAATTCAGAAGATATATATATATATATAATATGTGAAAAAATGTAGACAGAGTTACTGGCAGTTCGCTTTCTTAGAGATAAAAATTGTAATTTCTTGAATTCAAGTCTTGATAAGGAATGTTGTTTTGAGTGGATGTAATATTCATAGCAAAAGTCATGCTTTGAACATAAAAATTCTTAAATGTCAAGAGCTATCGGGATTTTACTTTTCAATTCTGTATGAAAGTTAAACGTCATCATTTTCCATTTAAAAGGTAAAAATGGGGTAATTCATTACTAAAACTAAAAGACTTGGTGATAATGCCCCAACAGTCTTCAACGTCGCGAATATTTTATGTTAGCTAAGCATACCCGACGTTATAAACTTTTTTAAATTTACAAAACACGATGCAGTATGTCGAAATAATTGACCCTAAGGTTTGCAGGAAAAAAAAACATATCAATGTAAATTAATTAAAAAAGATAATTTAGCAGATTTTGATACAGATCTCTTTTGTTCTTAAAGGGGGGCAGGCCTAAACATTGCTTCTTTTCTCTATAGATTAAGCTTTTCCTCCTCCCTTTCCTTTTTATTAATTTCTCCATCTGAAGAAGAGGGGCCTGCGTCAACCGCAAGTCATGTGTAAAAATTATTTCCATCTGAGCATTTGATTTTTAATTACAAATGAAAATGATTGACTCCAGGGATAGTTGAAAAACAAAAACTCTTATTGGTCATTTTTACAATGCAATACAATGCTTTAATTTTCTCTAAATAATAACGAAATTTTATGAAAACGGTTTAAGCCTCAATACTAAGAGGATTCTGCAGTTATAAAGACCTAAGTTTTATATGAGGTAGGTCTACCTTGCAAAATTCGCGGGGATATACGAGAAGAAACATATTGATGTCATTATCGTTTCAAAGACTATTACTGATCAACGTTTAAGAATTTTTGACGAATCGTAGGCAAAATTTGGTTAGAAGCAAAATTTGGTAGTTTTGGCTATTAAAATCATATTGGGTCCGTTTTTTAAGTTCATAGCTCCTTCAAGGAAACATTAATTACACGTGTCTAATTAAATTTTACATATAAATGTGCGTATCATTTTCTGTTTAACTTACTAAAACATGTAGAGAACCTTTCAAAGCCAGAAGATATGAAATAATTAATGCGGCTTTGTCTGAATTCAAACTACCGATTATTTGAACTATTCGTTAAGGATAATGTGTAGTTTTCGAACTGAAATTTTTGCTATATGGAAATCGTATAAAAATTTAGGATTTATAACACATAATTCTTTCACCATGGATCTTAAAACATTTTTCATAAATTTCTGTACGTTATTTCAAGAAACCTTTTCATTTGGAAAGCATTTTTAGATTCATTGTGTAAAGAATAGCCTGTAGCTATGAAGCCTGTAGCCATACATTCCGAGTGAGAAAGCATGGATATAATTTGTCCTTCCTTTCATATGAGACATTGTTGGCCCACCTAATACGTGCCTCTAAGTAAAGAGACTACTGCTTCCGGCCTTAGGAATGGCCAACGCCTATAAATGGCTAGATCCCGCCTTTGGATAAAAAATATCTTCCGAGTATTCATATATTTTTATTATGGCGGATTGCTAGGGCAAATTATAAAATATAGTGCTAGTTTCTCAAATTCCTTTAATAGAGTTTTTGCTAACTTAGAAGCCAAACAACAAAAATCAGCGTTATGTTTTCAAACTTTCACAGGACTAGCTTCGATGGTTTTACCGAACCATTATCCTCAGCTGCAAAAGCGCATATGAACGAGATAAAATATAATGATTAGATAAGATAAGATAAGAAAGCCTAGCCAGGAGATAAGCTACTGGCGCCATCTGTTGATGAAAAACCAGAACTAAAACATAATTTCTTTAAAGGCTGAAGGCAAAGATGGATTGGAATTAGGGTCGTTAACTAGAACAGAAAGATTTTTTGAATGTGAAATGCCTCTAGAAAATCCACTTCACCAATGGAAGATGTTTTTTGAATAATTTTGGCAGCAGAACAATTGAAAATGTGATTTTTGGACCAACAATGTTGGGCAACAGAAGACTTCTGTGTTTCCTTTTTTCTAACAAATGCCTGATGTT